TCTTTATCCTCTTTTTCACTCTTTTTTACTTTCCCCAATTTACTCTCTCTGACTCCTTTCCCCCCTCCCCTCAGCCTTACCACACTCACTTTTTTCCTACTCTCCCTCTCCTCCCTTTTTTCTCCGCCATATCCTCCCATCGTTTTTCTTCCTTTCTCACTATCCCCCCTTTTCATTTTTCCGTCTCCCTTTATTCTACTTTTTCCCTCTTCCTCTGTTCCTTTTTCTCCGCCTCTCCTTCTTCTTGTTCCTCTTTCTCATTTCCCCTTCCATCTGTCAGGACTTCTTTTTCCTCATCCCAACTCCACCACTTCCCCTCTATCCAAATCTTTCCATACTTTACCCAAGCTCTCTTCCTATTCTTTCTCTTCTTCTCAGCTATCATCTCCAGGCTCCATTACATTTTTCTTTCCTTCAAGGTCATGTCATCCTCTATTCTTTCCATCCTCCCTTTCCACACATTATTTCTCTGCATTACCTCTCTTTTTTTTACTCTATCTTTTAACTTAACTAAAACCATCTTCTTTTCTTTCCTCGTTTTTCTTTTACCTTCTCTATTCCTCTCTCTACCCCCATCTCTAGCCATAGCTTCTCTACCGCTTCCTTTAGCCTTCTCTCCTCCACCTCCACCCTTTTCACTACTACATTGTTCCTCCTTCTGTCTCTCTCTTCTAACTCTCCACCTTTCTAGCTCTCTTACCTTCACTTCCATTGCTTTATCTCTTTTTCCTATCTCCCACTTTCCTTTCTCTTTCACTTCACCTTGCCCTTCCTTCCTCCCATCTCTTTCCTCTATACTATCCAGCCTTCCTTTCAACTCTCCTATCTCCTTCAATTCCTCCCTTTCCGTCTGCTATTTTACCTCTTTCCTCCACATCCGCCCTCATCTTCCTAATCTCATCTCTTATCATTTCTCTCTTTTTCTTACTTTCTACCTTCTACCCCTTGTTCTTTCTGTTCTTTCCTTAATTCCCGTATTTCCTCCATCATTTTACTCATTATCCTTATTATCTGTTCTTTCCCCTCTGGCGATATCACCATTTTCCTACTCCTTCTAAACGCCTCTTCCTCTCTCTTCTTCCCCCTTCCGCTCTTTTTTTTAAATAATCATCTATACTTTCCTCACTACATAAACTCGCACTTCGCTTTCTCTCCTTGTGCTAGCCACCTTACCTCTTCTACTTGTCATCTTTTTGAGCTCCTTCTCCGCTTTATCCTTCCCCTCACTTTCCTTATTTTTTCTCTCTACTCTCCTTTTTATCCCATGCCTTCCTCTCACTTTATTTATTCTATCGTCTCCTTTCCTCCCTATCTCGCTTCAAATCTACCGCCACCCTACTCCTTCCCTTTTTCTCTCCGAGATGTCACCACCTCTCAGCCTTTCTTACTCTTCACCCACAATGTCGCCACCTCTCAACCGCCTGCCACTTCACTTTCTTTCTGAGGTGTCCCTGACCACACACCGTTACTAACTAATATCTCCTCTCTTACTCGTCCTTGCTTTTTGCCTCCACTTCCACCGCCTTTGCCACTTTTCCCTTCCCTCCACCACTACTCTCTTCTCTGCTGCTACTCCTAATCTCACTCTACGCCTTACTTTTTCGCTCTCTATTGCGCTCGCTAACTACCCGCTTCCACTCCTATACCCCTCTCCTTCTCTTATTAATTGTAAATCACATATTATTTTATTTTTTTCATTCTTACTCACTCTCTCTTCCTCTATTTCATTTTGTTTTATTTTCTTTGATTTACTCTCATTTACGTTCTTTCACCACTATCTTTATGTAGGCTCCTTCCACTATCTTTATATAGTTTCCTTCATTCTCATCCATTCTGCATCATTTTTCTAATTTTATTGCATTTTACTGCTTTATCTTCTCTCATTCTTTTTTATTTTTACTTGTTCTCACTCATAATGCTTCATTTTCGCTCATTGTCTTTTCTTTATTTATCTCGTTTTTTTTTTTATCTTCTCTGATTCTATCTGATTTTTGTTCATGTCCTATTATTCAATTTTATCCCCATCTATTCCCTTAAATTCATATCCTGTCGTCTTAAGGGCTTACACCTGAGTAAAGTGACCATATTTTGGGAATTTTTTTCTCGGGAAATAATTGCTTTATTCAAAAACTTTTTTTTTGTTAAAAAGAGCATGTATTTTAGTACGTTTGTAAATTTTTTAATTAAAATTTATTAACAATAAATATTGTTTATTGGCATCAGCGTAAGCCCCGTTTTTTTGCGGTGTTCACCATTTTGGGTTGTCACGTCATCTGGAACAAAAATATGCATTAAATTCCTAATTAGTGATATACAAGACAGTTAGCTACGAGCCAAAAAAATTTTTTTTTTTAAATTTGAAAAATAACGGTTGTTGAAATTTGAAGTCGATTTTTGACCTATTTTTTCAAGTTACCAATGCATTTTTTAAACATTTGTAACAAAAAATTTATAAAAGTTTGATCGTAGCTAATTAGACAAAGCATCCAAGAATATCGTGTCCAAATTTCAAAAAGATCTATCGATCCGTTCTCGAGATATCGTGAACACCGTTTTTTAAAACAATGTTTCGAGAAAAACGCGTTTAAAGTTTGAGAAGAGATTTGGATATCATTGTTTATAATGCTATAACTTGAAAACGACTCGTCTTACGAAAAAAATGCAAAAGACAAAAAAGTTTTATTTTGACTAAAAAATATTAGTAATAATTTAAAAAAAAATTTTTTTGTTATATAATGAAATTGTTTAAAAAAATTTTTTTTTATAATTTTACCTTTAGTCGGCGATTTCGGGGCCATATAAAAGTCCTTTGATGACGACTTGAGGAGAGGCTTCTTGAAGGACACGAGTCCTGAGAAGAGAGGCTATCTCGCGATACCGGCGAAAAAGGCGCGATACCACTACGCTCCGCTCCGCCCCGCTTCAGTAAAACTTCCGTAACTTCTACAATTCTTCGAATTTCTTAATAATATTTTAACACAATATTTTTGAAACTATATATTTTCAAGAAATGCAATAAAAAAAATCGATTTTTTTTTAATTCTACTCAGGTGTAAGCCCTTAATTTTGTCTCTTTTCGCATTTTGCAGCCATTTTTCTTATTCTCATTAATTCTCTCTCTCTCGCTCTCACTCTTCCCCTTCTCTTTCCCTCTCCCCCTCTGCCCCCTGTCTCTCGCTCTCTCTCTCTAGCAGCGCCAAGTTTTTTAACAAAAAAAATTTATGTATTTTAATAAAATATTTTTATTTTGTACTGTTACCTCTGTAATTCTTTGCGATGCGAGTAGGGGGGTAACAGGTACTTCTACACTCAGGGATCTTGCTTGCGGTTAGCGGGGTCGGGGGGTGCCTCGCTGTCGCGGGGGGAGCGCCGTAAGCGGTGGGCGAGGGGGTCGAGGGACGGTGTTAAGGGTCATCGGAGGGGGGGGGGCTACGCGGGGGGAAGAGATTGCTGTGCGAGGGAGGGAGCGCGACGCGGGGGGAACATATCGGGTAAGGTTAGGTGCCGCAGGGCCGCCAACGGAGGCTCGGCGCGGGGACTCGGGCGTTCCGAGGGGGTGCGCTTAGAGCGGCGCTCGCGCCGTTACCGACCGTTTTGGAAAATCGCGCGCCAAGTTTTTTTTCGTTTTTGCTCGCGCGCGTCCGGACTCGCCCGAACTCGTCCGAACTCGTTCGAGGTCGCTCCTCTCGACGTTCCGGGGGGGAAAAATGCGTTCGAGGTCGTTCGTTTCGCAGGTCTCGATCGCCCGTCTTCGTCGTCGTTTTTTTTTTACTCTTGGTCCGAAGGTCGTTTCGATCCGCGTCGCGGACGACGCGATCGCCGCGACATCGGGGGTAAGCGCGGTCGCGCGGAGATAGATATATGGATCTGGGAAAAAGGGGAAAAAGAAAGAGAGAGCGCACAGATGAGATACGTATATAGTTTTTTTATTCAGAAAAATAATACACGCGCGTTTGCATTGTTTCGCTCGTGTGAATATATACATTTTGTAGACGCGACATTGTTATTAAGATCGGAAGCAGAGCGCGGCGATCTCGCAATCGACGATGTTGTCAGGATCGAAGAAATCGCTCTTCAGTATCGCAGTCTGAACCAAAGTTTTCATTTTCATCCCGCTGGCGGCTATCTCCCGATAGCGCGAAAACTTCGCGTCGACCTCTTCGGTCGCCGCGCTCAGCGCCCGGACGACGCGATCTACGCAAAATTGGAGATCGTACAGCGTGAGCAGGGTTTTGAGCACCATCACCACGCGAGCCAGGTTGGTTAGCTCCATTCGTAGGATCGGCGCGTTGTTGATCACTCCGAATCGCAGCGTCATCCCTTCGATCGACATCGGCGAAGGGGGGGGGGGGGGGGACCACGGCGGAGGGGGGCGCTTCCAAGCACGACCAATTTGTCGCGTTTGCGCTCGACCAGTCCTTTCCACATGTCGAGCGTCAGGGAGATTTCCCTGCCTTGTTTGTCTCTTATGGCGATATCCACGTACGAAGGCGTGGTATGAATACTGTACCACGGCGACTTGATCGTGATACCTATGGCTATGTACTTGTAGCCAGTCGTCGTCAGCAGATAACGCGTCGTCAGGACGCGCACAGGGGGCAATTCGACGGGAAAGTTGGAACGAAACTCCTGATGATGACGACGATCGTCTTCGACGGGCGCGTCGGTGGGAGGATGAGAGCTGCGACGCGACTCCTGGCGATGAGGACGATAATGACGATCGTCCATCAAACTGATCTTTCGCATTTTATTGCCGTTGTTGTTCGCCTCCGAATCCGCCGTCTCCGGAGGGGAAATACTTCTCAGCACGGGTCGATCGGCCAACGTTGAGAACATTTCGCGCTGCGCGCCGCGGCAACCGTTCGTTTCTGATTCTTTTCCGACGCGTCGTATTCGGCCGATGACGCGACACTGATGCCTTGGGGGGGACACATCGGTATAAGTAGGAAAAATCTGACTTATGTCGCGCGTAGCGTGGTGTGGGAAATTTACGCGGTCCTCTACTTCCTTCGGCGAATGCGGAGATCGGAGAGCCGAACCCCGGTGTCGTCATCGTTCGAATAATCGCTCGCCGCCGACGTTAGCGAGTTATCGTTGAGGCGTACGATTCGATCGAAGAGATCGCGCGACTGCTGCAGCAATTCGGCCTTAGGGCAGACAATATTAAGCATCCGCAGATCGAATTTACCGGCCGACGAGACGGTCCTCGTAAATTCGTTGAATTTGTAGAACTGCGCACGAGTGGTGAAGTACAGATTGCCGTCGACGTAGCGGAAGATCGACGTCACGCCGGTCAATATTCCGAGAAACGTCGCCTCGAGGGGCGTAAATTTGGCGACTTTCTTGTCTTTGTCGCATTCGTCTATCTCGCCCACCGCGTTACCGTTGAACACCACGAAGGAACGTCCTCTGTGGGTGTTCACCGCTCCGTTGATCAACGTGTTTTCGGGAAATCCGAGTTCTTGCAAGGTCTTCGGCCAACCTGGCCGCAGACTAAATTCCGGATATTGAACCAAGTATACCAAATTATCTACGAACACCACGAGATCGCCGGACGGGGATTGATAGGCGGCGGTCACGCGC